AACGGGCATTGGCTCTGTCGGACATGGGGGAAGCTTCTGGCAGCTTCCCACAGAAAGCCACCCCTCACCCCCCCCGCCCCGCTACCAAAACCTTGCAAAGCAAAACACTCCTGATTAAGCATAGGTGTTTTACTGCTGTTATTGAGGTGGATTAACAAGCGGAGTCTTGCATTACAGCTTCTTTGTGAACAACAGTCTCCAAGTTCTTTCTAAATAGGCAGTTTTAATATATTAGCATGGTTTCAGTCTTAATCAAAATAGCAGTTAAACTGCTGTAGCTTACTTATCAAATATTCTAACAGTTCTTTTAGTATTTGAAAATCAGTGCTGAAAAAAAAATGATAATCAAGAGGTTTACGCTTCTTTTTAAATCTGGTGCTGACTGATTTTGGAATAATACCTAAGACTTACACGACAGTAACTGTATTTAATTTTTGTGATTCTTTGCACAATGACATAGCAAGGTGCCACAAAATCATTTTTCTTGACTAAATCACAAAGCTACCGGAGAATTTTCGGAGTTTTCCTTGATAAGTTGTCAAATTCAGGTTCTATTTAGGTAATGCTGTAGATATACCCTGATTCTGAGAAAATATTTTATTCCCTTCCACCAGAGAGTTCTTTCCAAATAGAAATATACATTTATATAATTTTAAGTCAGTTGTCATTTATGAACCTAATAGTCAGAAAATCATTCAGCAGTTTTGTAGAAGGAACATGCAGAATACAAGTGAATGTTTTGTGGGGCCAAACGGCAGGTTGACCAGTCCTGTAAGAATAGTTTTTCACAATTCAGCTTGTCAAAATTCTATTTAAAGATGTTGCCAAGTTAAAGCAAATGAGTTACAGAGGTCTGATTTGCAGTGAATAAATTGGTTTACCTCAGAAGTTTTCTAAAATACAGTTTAAAGAAATTGTATATGCTTTATCATGTGAAGCTTGAATAACATTCAAGATTCTTCTCTAAAATTTGCTGTTTATTAAAGTTCTTACTTTAAAAAGATATAATTTATTTTTTCTAGTGGAGCAACAGTTCAGTCTGAAGCCAAAGGTAAAGATGGCCAACCATTGCTTCTCCTCATGGCATCAACTCTCAGAGTTCGCAGTTTTGACCAGCTGTCCAGCTTGCTACAAATTTCTATGGAAAAAAAGTTAAAGGAAGCACAGGCATGCCTTGAAGGTTTCCTTTCTTCTTTTTTTTCATCTTTCCTCTTTCTTAAAAAGCATGTCTTCTCCTTCAATTCGTGTTTATGAAATGTGAAGAAAGGCATGCGTTCATTTTAAGTATATAAGAAGGTGTTGATTCATGAAGGTGGCTAAAGGTGCTGATCCAGAATTTAATGGAGTTTCTAGTTCTTGTATTTTCACAGAAATCAGTAACAGAGAAATCTGGAATAAAGTTGAGACAAAGCTGTTGAATCTCATATACAAATTCATTTGTACTGAGTAATACCGCAGCTATTGCGACAGACAATAGGTTTAAATTTCTGAAAAATAATGTCTTATTGGAGGCTAATAGCAGTTTTTCCTATGTTTGTACTTTAATCCTCTTTTAACATGTTACATCCTTAAAAAATAGCCAAAGAAAAATTTATGTGCTTAAGGCATTCTTACCTGCACAAGTTTCACTCTGAGCACTTCCAGCTCCTTCTCACAATGTTTTTTGAAATATAGGTACGAGTACTTTTACTGTGTCATATTCAAGTCCTAGATTTTCAATCTGGCAAGACGACCCTTGATATGCTAAACTGGATATCCTCCTCTCATTGGAGGTAGAAAAGATCAGTAATATTCTTTGGTAATATTAGTAGAAATTGCATCTGCAATACTAAAATCTAAATGCTCATACTGGATCAATCTTCAGATCCATTTAATCCTGGGTCCTGTCACTGATAGTGATCAACCATGAATAATAGGGAAGAAGAATATGGACAGGGTATCATGCAGAGGCATTCACAGATGCATGGGACTTCATTTGCAGGAACAGAGCAAAATGTTTTTGTAAAATCCATTGACATGCAGTTACGTCACTGTTTACCAAAAAACAGCTGGCATAGCTGAGGAAGTAATGGGGCCATTGGGAATGTTGCTAGAAAACTTCAAAGATGTTCTTTAACACTAAATCATATTTCCAAAATGATCAATTTTCAGTGAGTTAAACCCATTGATTTCCTGTTTTGGTGATCAGCCAGGCATATTTTCTGGAAAGGGGGCTGTTGGTAAAGGGAAGTATTTAATATACACCTCTTGGTTGAATGAATCTTAATCTTTGTTGTGAAAAGCAGTTTTGTTTGTTATGAAAAATTTCTTTTTGTTCTTAATGTTTTCATATTTTTAAAAATGTATTTCAAATTACAACAGAGGGATATGAAAGAATACAGCATACAGTAATATTTGATGAATAAATATGCACATTATTAGAGTTCTTATTGTAAATTAATAGCATCAAAATTATTCACCAATTGAGATAGAAAGTGTTTGTCTTGCCTAATCATTTTTAACATAGTATCACATTATAGGATTCTGTTTCATGTTCACAGCTAACAGAGATCCTATAGTGAAAATTCTTGGCCCTGAATATGGGACTGTTGAAGGAGAAGATATGTCCATGTTGTATTTACTTGACAAAGTGAAAAAAGATGATGACCCTGAAACAGAGCTGAAAATGAAAATCTTTCTTCTTCTTCATCAGCTGGATTTGCAACTGCTTAATAGTTCTTTGAAACACATTTCAGAGTAAGTGCATTTCAAATGGAAGCTAAGCATGTCAACCAGTGCATTTTTTTGTTTTATTGTTAAATCAGTTTGGTTTCAACCCATAACGTGCATTTCGTGTGACATAAAGAAATTTATTGAAATAACTTTCACTGTTCACTAAGTTACTGAAAAAACATTCTTTTTCTGAAGATTTTGCTGTAGGTGTGGGTATGCAAGTGTGTGCCCGCAAGTGTGGTTTTTTTTATTGCATATGTTTTGCATTTTGGTAGCAAATTGAAGTCATTTGTACAAACAACAAAGTTACAGTTAAATATTTTCAAGGAAATGTTTGTTTCTTCATGGAAGCATATTAAATATTACATTGTGTCTGTTTCGTAGTTACAAGAACTTCATATTAGCTCTGGAACTAAAATTGCACTAAACTAACAGATAAAATTAAGAAAAACCATGGGAGTTGACCCATTTCCAGATTTTTGTTGCTACCATTAAGACTCAATGTAAAAGAAAAAAATCATGTAAAAATCTCTTTTCATTTCTCTGAGTGCATCCTTTCGATGAATACATTTTAGACTATTTTCTATTAATTGCAGAGACATTAGACTAAATCCAGCTGCTATAAATAATGAAGTGAATCTTCTCAAGAATTTCTCTGGGAAAGGAGAAGATACAGTACTGGAATCACTGGAATATACATCAGGTCCAAATCTGATCATATCTCATGTTTATATATACCTTTATTGAAGTACTTGACTTCTGTGTGAAACTTGCTAAATTAATTTTAGTAATAAATTTAAAGTGTCTATTTCTGCTTTAAAGTTATAAAGTAAAATAAAAAGTATTTTCAGACATGGAATGCTGTTCTTCAGCCTTTAGTTATAGAAATAATCTCCAATCACATGAATTTCTTCAGTGGAAGTAGAGAAAGTGAACTGAGTCCCTGATCCTGAAAAGTGCTAAGCACAGTTGTAGTTCTTAGTTGGACTGGGCCACAGGCTCACAGAGTTTTGCATGATTATTTCCTAACAGCATGAATTCTTAAGAGTAAGGTATTGTTTGGGAATTTTATTTGTCTACATGTTGTATTTATCATCAAGCATAACTATTGAAAATACTTGAAAACTGGATAAAAACACTAATGCTAATTGGTTACAGATTACACATTCTCTAATGGCTGCCGAGCTCCTCCCTGGAGACAAGTGCATGGAGAAATTTGTTACTTAGTCATCAAACCACATGACACCGATCCTTTGTATATCACTTGCAGCACAGCAGGAGTGTTTTTAAATGGAGTAAGTAATAATAAAGGATTCCATGGAGTAATGAATATTTTTATGTGCTAAAATTAAAAATCCATCAGGTTTAGGGTAATGGTGTTGAGGCTGTAAGACCTGCAGAGTTAGTTTATTGGTACAGAAGGAGAAGACACAGTAATAAATGTATGCTAGTTTTCCCATATGTTTTGGGTGCTTTTTCTATAAGTCTTATACTAGGAGTGTATTCTGCACTTTTTGCTGGCAGTGTTTGTTTAGTCTTTAAACACTCCTTCACACTATTCCTATTTAAAAGTACTGTGGGACTAGATGCCTCTCTAGTGCCTCATTGCTCTTGATCTGAGGTGCAATATTATTGTGTGGCTAATATAGCTTGCTTTTGTCTTTTTATAAATGATAAGCAGTTCTTTCTCCTTTCAGTGGAAGATTTAAAAAATTATTTATCTCTTTTCTTCCACTTTTCATTTTGGTTCCCTCTTTCCTTACAGATTTTATTTAGACATAATAGTCCCTTATGTATTTTAAGCAGTGAGCAGAGCTCTTGTATCCATTTTGAAGAGAGACTGATGTCTGTCAGGTGTAACTCCACAAATTGATTTCCTAAGAGTTAAAAAATCCAGGGAAATTTTGACTTAGCACATTTTTAATGGATGAAGCTCATAAAGCTTAGGCTCAGTCAGGTTACATTACTTTCTGATCTTTTTAGACATCTGCACTGGAAGCTCATATTTACTTGGTTGTTTGCCATGAGCCATAAATTCTTTTCAGTGGAACTACCCACAGTACAATTAACTGATAGTAATTTCTTGCAAAATTCTATCTAAGATCTTGATTATCTGTGGGGATCCATGGAGATGATCCATGCATCTTTACAAAGCATTACTGAAGTTTGATGGACTCTGTGCTGAGCGTGAGACTTCTGTACATAATTCATTACAGTATGACCTCTGTGCTCTTTAGCAGTATTTTATGATGCAGATTAAATTACCTGTGTAAGGCGATACTATTAATAATTTTAAACTTACTCTTTTTTTAAGGGTGAGCTAAAGGGTAAAGATGACATTGACTACGAAAGAAAAAGTGATGTATATAAAGATATTGTCACATTTTTAAGGGAGAGATCACCTAGATTTGTAGAAAATATGGCTAAACAGGTATGTATTCACTGATACTGGGTGTATATTCTACTTTGTACAAACATACATTGTACATTGGTAAGAATTACATTATAAACCTGGCTGAACATTTATGTTCTTTATCAAAGATAAATGTGTGATTAAATTAAGAATTTTAAAGACTCTGAAATGCATTTATTATTTCTCTTTATATTTGTTTCAGTTTCTACTAAATACGTTCCTTTCGTAAACAGCAAATAATACACTATTTCACATGTCGTTCTCTCATACCTTATTATTATGAGGTTTGATCCAGTATGTGAGGTCAGCTTTTAATTTTGCATAAGAAGTTTTGCCTGTCTTCTGGTGTTATTCTTTATGGAGCACTTGGAAATGTTAGAGCAGGAAAATACAATATCCTTACAGAAAAGGTCAACTTTTGATGACTAGTTTTCTGTAATCAAAACCACTTAAATTTTTATCTTCATTCTTCGTAACCCAAATATAAATAACAGCCCAACTTTTTTACGAGAACTGCCTGATTTAAATATCAGAGCTGAGAGTTAAGCATCCAGCTTACACACTGTGTGTTGCTTCAGCCACTGTAAAATGCAAGTGTTTGGCTTTTATTTAGAGCTCTATATTAGCTAGAATCACATAGTGCTGCTACAATTTTAGTTGTTTCATCCCTGATAAAAACTCTTTTTTCAGATTTCTTGTGTGGCTATAACAGGTTAATAACTTCGTGGTAAAATTCATTACAGGCTAAAACCTGTCAAAAGTTTTACTGTGGTTATTTATATGCAATTTTAATTATTGCAAGAAACAAGTCATTAACAGGGAAATTTTCTTATCCTTTAGGTCTGATTTTCTGGGATGTGGGGCTGGTATTTATTTTCTTTGAGATATAGATATTTGACAGTTCTGGAAGAACAGAGCATTTCAAGTTGTACACATAAATACCGTAGCTTATATTAACAGTAACGGAATTAAATTTGTAAGTAAGTTGTTCTGTTTGAAAGTGCAATAATTTCCAAAATGTGTTTTATTTATCCCATAGGCAAGTATTTTTTTAATGTTATAGCTACATATTGGTTTACATTTTATAAATGTGACAATATATGAATGTTTTTAGACATAATTACTGGTGTAATGTATTTTCAAAGTGATTTGACTTCATTTGATGGTCGTGAAAGGTAAAAAATGGTAATATTTTAATATTTTTTTACAGTTCTCATCCTAAATGTTAATATAGATTAATGTTAGTATCTATAATAGATGTAATAGACCTCTCTTTACTGGTTTTCTGCTCTTATAAAGATACTGTAGCTATTCAAGAACTGTGTACACTTATTAAATAAGAGTAAATAAATAGAATTTATCCTACTTTCCTTCAATTGTGATATCAATCACTTAGTATTCCCTGACTGTGTAAATAAGTTTATGCCGAAGAGTATAAATTATACCATTTTAATAGTTTAGGAATATCATATCATATTGCCTTGCTGAAGAGCTTGTTTAGTACTTTCTGCATTCTAAAACTAGAATTTACACAAGTTAATACTGTAGAGCTGCAGAGCATTTGTATTTGAGGGAAAATCTTCTCTACTCTAGAACTCTGAAAAGCAGAGAAAAGCTGTATTTCCAAGGTTACCTACATGAAATAAATTATGACTGGAAATAGTTTTGATTTATTTTCTGAGGAGAGGAGAGCTTCAAAAAGCTCATTATGTACACATATATTGCAAACCCAATTAACTTTTATAATATCTTCTTGGCCTTGTTGAAGCTAACATTTAGAATTGCTGTGTTGGCTTCTAGTGCTGTAGGAAACAACTTTTTAACGTGCTTACCCGCTCAAGCTACAGCATCAATTCTCCTGTGATTTGTCTAGTTTATCATGTGTTAAATTTTCTTGTCTAGAGTACATTTTCAGAATTAGAGAATTAGCATGAGTTAGTTTATGGTTAGGCAGTTGGGTCAGCAAACCTGGAACAGCTGATTCACATCAGGGACTAGTTGAAAACAGACCATACTGTGACAGTCTCCTTAAAACTGCCTTGAATCAGATATGTAAAGGAATGTCTTCACCTATCTGGTAGTGACAGCTGCAATAATAATAAGAAGTAATGATCGTATGCTGTCTTTCCTGTAAAAATTGAATATGTTCCAATAGAGAATAAGAGTTGACAAGAGTCCTTTCTGTTCTGGATATTTTTGGTCAGCCACGGTACTAGACACAGGCAGCTAAAGGATTGGTAGGTGCCACTAATCTCCATTCTTGTATGTGACTTGTTCAACAATGTTTTGTCCTGAGAAACAGAAGATAAAAAAACTGAAATGGAATGTGTTTATATTAATTCTAAACTATCTAAAATTAAATTACTTGGAACTGAAGTCTAGCAGTTTATCATAGCCTATTTTCAGTTTTATGTTCATTATTTTTTGTGGGTTTTTCTTGTAAATCCTTTTTTCAGGGAAATAGTTTTTATATAAATGATCCATTGAAAGCAGAATGACTGACTTCTAGATCTTAAAACTCATTTAGAATTAGGTTCTATAAAAGTGCTTCTGTCACAAATTATTTAACGTATTAGAAACTGAGCAACACCCAACATTCAAGTATGTTCAGGAAGTTCCAAATTTAACTAGTTCATTTATTTCAAAAACTTTTAATTTGCACACGGTAACAGCTACTTTCCAGATTAATGTTTCATTCTTTTAAAGGCAATCTGATTTTATCCTTATCTAATTCTACATTTAATACATACAAGTTTTAAGCACAGCATCCTGGAATTGTGCTTATAACATTGTTTTAATATGCATTACTCATATAGCAATATGACTGACAAACCATGTCTCTTTCTTTTATTAGGAATATAATTTTTTAAAAGAACCAACATATGAGAAAAATTATCAGCGTATGGAAGTAGTTGATGCTAAGGTCTCTGGCCAATCCCAGAACCTTTATGATTTTACAGAAAAGAATGTATGTGAGAAAGTGAAAAGTTCTGCAGCAAGAAGGAGATCCGTTGACAAGAAGAAATTAGAACCATCTATGAAGTGGAAGAATAGTGGGCTTTCTGCTTCCCACAGATAAGTAGTTATCTTTATAATTGAACTTTCCTATAGATCTCTCTAAACTGTGCTAATGATCGGACTGCATGTTATAGGTTTGTGTTATTATCTTAAGTTAGGAGCAATAAACCAAAATTTACTACATGTTAATTTCTAAGAAGAGAGTACACACTACCAACGAGATTTCTCAGATTTCTTCTGTCGTGCAACAACTTTGATGATGTTATATCGTTTCCACAGCAAGGCAGAGAAATATCTTGCAACCATGTGCAGTACTGGTCCTCCAGGACTGTGATATTATATTTTTAGTGTAAAGCGCCCTTTAAAGCGAGACAGAGTAGACAGTCTAATCTAAACCACACTTTCTGAGGGAGGCAAAAGAGATCCAGGATAGAAAATCAGGATGACTCTTACTTGTACTACCAATTTTTAATGATTTCATATATGAGCCACTTTTCTAGCTCTGCTTAGCAACAGTCTTCACTAATGAGATTATCTCAAAGTTTGGACACCCAAAAATAGAGTATACATATATTGGATATTGTTGGATTTGCCTTCTGAAATCAGAACCCCATTCTGATTTCATGTTTCCTGATTTTGTGTTAATGGAGGAAGAAGAATATCTGAAGGAAAGGCTTTGATTGCCACCCTACAAAAAAAAGTCAGTATCTTCTCAAGTCTGCCAATCTGACATGTTGCAAGAAACATTTTAAGAGATTTTGTATGTGACCTACAGTCATCAGTTAAAAAAAAGTCGTTTTCCAGAGACAAGACCTCATCTTTTTCCACAGTCATTGTTAGAGTCTAGATGTAGTGAAATTGGCTGTAATCATGAGTAGTATTCTCTTTTATTGTTGTGACTGTGATAGTATGACCAGCCCAGGTTCGAAAGGACATTTTGTTTTCACAACATTGTAAATTAGGGACAAAAATGCACCAGAGATTGTGCCCAGCTAGGCCTAGGAGTCTTCTTGGAATATGAGGAAAGCAATATATATTGTATTCAGCACGATGAACGCTATGGAACAGCTCAGCGTGTGGAAAAGCTAGGCAGACCAGAACTCTTCTGCCTGGAAAAAAGATGACTGGGGGACAGTAAGACAGATACAAAAATAATGACTGGAGACAGTAAATAGGGAACAGATAGTCACTGTCCGTTCTAATACAAGAATAAAGGGCATCAAATGAAAATGAAAATGAGCTGAGACCAGTTCATAACAAAGGGAGAGACTTCTTCATACAACGGATGGCTAAGCTCTAAAATTCTTTGCCACAGGATGGTAGAGGCCATTTGTTTATGTGAGTTCAGAAAGCAACCAGACACATTCATGGAAGAAAAATCCATCCAAAACCGTTAATGCAAGGATGATCAGGAGTTCCCTGAATCACAATTTGCTGAAGAATATTCTGGAAAAAATAATTTCCATGTTCTTCCATTGTTCTTCTATTGTTACCTAGATAGCTGCTATTGGTCATGGTTGGAGATGGTATCCTAGGATAAATGGGCCTGTGGTCTGTCTGCATATACTCATTCTTTGTTCTTGTATCACATACAGATCAGCATGATATAATTTTTCTAATATTCCACTATTTTATTAAAGCAAAATTAGTCACTTAAGACACAGCATACTTTCTGTTTAATGAAGTTTATTGTGTAGGTTCATAGGCTCATATGTACTGACATAATATGTGTCCAACCACAGCTTTTTGGTTCTATGTATATATATTTAAAATATTTTTTTTTTAATAAAAACAAATATTTTAGTGACAAGGCCGCAAAAAAAGATACTGAAGAAGAAGGGAGAAGTAGTACTGTATCTCTGAAAACCAAAAAGAAAGCCAGTGGCATTTCTTCTGAATCTGTTAAAATACAACCAGCTTCAAAATGGTATGGGTTACTTTTTTTTTCTTCAATTTTTTAATTTTTATTTTCTGTATTTACAGTAATTATCACCAAACTTAGTATTTGGCAATGTCAATTGTATTTTTCTAATTCTGTTATTAGGCAGTGTTGTCATACCTGTTTAAAATGTGCTTGTTCATACTACTTTATAGCTGTTTAAAATGGGTGATGCTGTTTGTTTATTTTTAGTAAAACATTGGGCAGGTTTGAAGACGTTAGTGAAAGTTCCTCAGAGACTGAGGAAGATGAAGAGCAGCCTGTACGTCGTCAGGAAGGAAACACCGATTTGCCATCAGAATACTGGGGAATTCAGAAACTTGCAAAATATTTAAAGGTAAATAAGAAGCATTGATAAATTTTATAAAAAAAAAAGCGCTACTCTTTGCCTTCTACATCTGAGGACACCGGACCAGCTCCTCATCCTTTCCACCTTCCATATATTTTAGAATAGCCTTGCTATGTAGTATGTTCAAATCCTGGGACTGTGGATTTTCCTATCACACACCCGTTTCTCCTGCATTTTTTTTATCTGCTATTTTTGGCTTATATAGACCCTTAGATTAAACCATCTGTTCAGTGTTATTTAAAACTTAAGATGGTATAATTTCTTTATTAATTATTGGGTTTCTGTTTTGCTTTTTGGGTGAAACTTTCCAAGATATTCTTTATGTAGATAGTAACTTTCAAGAGTTTTTATTAAAACTGAATACTTGCCTAAAGTCTTTCATCAACTATGATTAATGCATGACTGAAGTAATTCTAACATGGTCTTGTGTCTGGATAGATGCTGTTAGTGGACAAGAAAATGTATGATAAACAGGCATCCTCTAAAACAAAAAAAAAGTTTTTTTACACAGACTTGTTGAAAATCCTTTGGAACCTATAAATATAGATGTTTAGAATTCTGTGTATGTCTGAAACACATAAAAAAACCAACAACCCTCTACTATTCTGGAAAACTCTTAAAACTAATTATGTTTTTCCCTCAGGAGAAATTCCTTTACAAGTTCGTACTGGAATTTATGTACTGTAAGTTACTAATAAAAGCACTGGTTTATTTGTTTTTTTGAGTACAGCTACAGAGTATACACATCCGACTGATAAAATGATGGTGCTGGCATTTGGTACAGCAGAAATACTTGTGAGGAATAAGCAAAGCTTTGGCTCCTTCCAGTCCTTTAACCATTGTAGACGAGTAACTTAGTCTTTTAAACAGTTTCCAGTGCACTCACGCTGCTTGTTCTCAGTTCGTGTATGTGGGACCTATGCTAGTGGTTGTAGCCAAAGAGACACAGAAAAGCATGGATAATACAAGTCTCTCTACAATTCTCTTCACCTTATATTTTCTAGGTTGGACCTCTATATTCTTGTCATTTTGGCTATGCTGAAGTAACCCTTTGGAAGTGTAATCTGCTGTAACATTCAGCATGTAACTTGCTCAGCTATCTGCTAGGTCTAAACACACTGTGTATACATTTTGCATTATACAGTTGTTTCTATCTGCATATAATTACAGTTCAAGGTGTTGGTTTCAAATCCTTCAATCTACTAATAGCTTGCTTCTGTCTGTCTTATGGACCACCTCTTTGTACTTTTCTGGGAGCTCAGAGAAATAACCATGCTACTTTTTAGTAAAGACCCAAGGTCCTCCTGGAGAGGATACTTGAAATTCATTACTGTTGGCGAACTTCAAGAAATCTTTTCATTGACCCATCTGTGGACCACCCTTTTTACTGACAAGGCTCTTCTCTCCTGGTTACATAATTCTCAAACTTCCTTTCCTTTCTAGATCCTTCATGTAGTCATGTTTAGATTTTAGTGTTGGACTTGATTGAATACTGAAACATATCTATACTTGCATGAAACCATTCTGAAGAGTGAGAATGGCAAATAGGAAAAAATATTTTTCATGCTCCTCTGTTTTAGAAATGAGTATATTTTGTTCCAGCTGTCAACAAGCAAAATTACTTACTGGCTTAGAACTAGAAAAGGGAAGGGGGGCATTTTCGATCAAATCGTGAGTACCTGTTAAGAAGTGTTTATAATACAAAATTCCATCACAGAAGAAGTTTTGTTATGAAAATTCAAATGCATACTTCTTTATGTATTCGTGCACACCTGAGTCTTCCAATAGTTCTTTAAATTAGATATAAATTAAACAAAGTACTTGAAGATATACTTAAAATAGTTCTCTGTTGATTCTTAGCTGCGTAAAGCAAGAAATCCCTAGTGTCAGATAAAGCTGAAGAGAGATGCCTCAGTGCCATACCACAGACAGTGGTTGAAATTTTTATTGATGGAGTGCTACTTTAGCTTGCACATGGAATTCATTTTAATTCAAGTATAAATACTGCACTTCTGGCCAGACTTAGGAGATTTTTTGGCATTCTTGTTGTTCATGTAGGCAAGTGTTCATGACACATGCAACATAAGAGAAAATAAATTTATGACTGCAATATTTAAGTATCTACAAGCATATTTATATAGAAGCACAAATTTCAGAGGGCTTGTGTGTCTTCAAAGGTTGTATACATTGTTTGCACACCTTAAAAATTTAATAAAATGCCTTAAATAATAGAAGTTTGAGATAGCAAGTTAGAAAGTGTAATAATTTGTAGGTGCAACCATTTTTTGAATGTCTGCTAAAGTAAATGTGAATCACAGTTCAGCAAGACTCTATAAAAGATCAATTTGCAAACACAAAACTTCCATAAAACCTGAAGGATACCTAGTTTTTATAGCAATGTTAGTTTGTCATTAAACTTAAAAAGATGGTTGCTTTGTATATAAAGCAAACTTGCCAGATCCTGTGAATTGTGCCTGTAGACTATGTATTTGTATACCTCTTCATGGACAGAAAATTCCACTGCAGGGGAAATTCCCTTCTGACTTTTTGCCCTTCTCCATTCCCCCTCCTTTCTGGTAAAGAGCAGCCATGTTGGAATTGCTCCACTGGGAAGCAGCTGCTTCTGTGGTCTGGCTCCTTGTCCTACCTTCAAGCTTCCCAGGGCTGTGAAACAGAAGTTAGAGCATATGTGCTCTTGCCATGTCTCCCCATCGACTTAAGAACGGGCAGCAAAGATAGATCAGTGAGCTTGGTGGTGGCATTGTGTTAGGCATCTTTTGGGACTAGAGTAGATAAAATTGGAATGAAGCGCTCTGTTGATGTTTGTAACAGTGAGATTCACTCAGGAGAGCCTGCTTCAGATTTCACGTTATTTATTAAAGTAGTGCTTCTGAAGTATTAGATTTCTAGGGGAAGGACTACATTCTACATGAGAAAATTTTAGGAATAGGGTGAAGGGGTCACATTTTACAATGATCTTTTTACTAGAAATGGGGAACATCAGGTAGAAATGCAGAATCTTCTTTGTGGCAGGGCTGGGGCTGTTCACTGAGAAAAAAAAAGAGAAAAAAAAAGGTGATAGCTGGGCACAATGCTTTGCGCTGCCTGCTGTTGAGCACTGATTATTGCCAGTTTTAAGATAAAATTGAGCTGTTGAGACGTGAATTGGGGCTGGTGACTACGCCAGGAATAACTCCAATCTCCAGAATAAGTCTTTAATCCCTTAAGCCCTTGCACTGCTCGGTTTTGGTTCCCTGTAAGGGTGTACACCTATGCCAGGGTGAGCTCCAGATAGAATTCTGCAGGACCATGTCAGTTACAGAATTCTTCCCTCAGTTTCTTAGCTGGAAAGTCATTCTACTTTTGGCTGTATTTCAGGGGTACACTAGTGAAACCAGACAAGTCTCACTCCTCATGTAAAATATCCACTAATTTCATATCTGTTTTGAATTACTCCAGTTCAAACGACCTAATTCCCAGAACAGCATTGTGTTTCTTTTCTGCTTTGGAATCATAGGTGGACAAACCTGCTGTCTCTCCCCAGCTGTTCACATCTTGTGCCAGGTCCAGGAGCTGGAGAAAGGCTATGGTGCCTAGGAGCTGGAGAGGATGTGCCTCAAGTATGGCCTTGAACACTAGCTTCCCAGGTGCCCGTGTGTGCTGGTGCTGCATTGCAGTGGATGGCTGGGAAGGGAGGACATCTGTCACATGACTCAGTAAAATCTCATTGACTGGACAAGGAGAAGGGTGAAAGAACTGCGGGATACACTGGGTGTATTCAGGTCTGCTCCACAGCTGCGTTTTGGCAGGACCTTTGGAAGACTGTTGCATTCAAGCAACATTTCTGTAGCTGGCAGGAAGCCCCTCTATGTTGGGCTTACATTACATAAAGATGGCAAATAGACCAGGGAGGCAGAAATGTACAGGAATATTCCTTATGGTCTTTGCCTCTTCCCTTTTCTTTCTCTCCAACTCCCTCTAAAAGTCCTCACTTATTTCTAGGCAATTGGGTCAAGGAAATGAAAGTCTTAAGAAATCAAAGATACGGGTCTAGTTCTTACAGTGCATGTATTGCAGTGAGTATTGGCTGGGCAAGACCTACTGCCCATCGTTTCTGCCTCCCCTTAGCAGTGCGAGCAGAGCTGAGCCAGGAGGATGTAGTGTGGCTGCTGCACTGCACGCAGAGTTTATTTCCTCTTCTCGGGAAGCTCAAATTTATCAGTTAGGGAAATGCAGCTGTGTGTTGGCTTGCAGGAAGGAATAGTGGATCCCCAGCTGAGCTCTTTGTACATGGAGGGCACTAGCATTCTTGGGGAAGAAAGGTACAGGTAAGAAATGCAGAAAGTCAAATAGACAGTGAAAAGATGCAGGGAGACTCTGCCAGGAGCTAAGATGCAGGATCTGAAATGAGATGTTCATGTAGATACTGTTGATAAACAGTATGAGATAGTTTTTTTCCCCAGGAAAAGACAGGGAGACATCTGGAGGTTGGAATTTAGGGGCTCAGGGCAAACCAGGGTGCAGTAAATCCATGTATGCATGAAAGGTAGGAATGTGGACAAGGAAGGTCCAAACTATTACAGAAACAGGGAGCCTGTTTCAGAACATTTGAGGACTAAATCTTAAATGGCAGTTGCATGTGTGTGTGTGTGTGGAGTTCTTTTGCACTCTGTATGCAAGGTTTGCAATGTGACATTTCTCTACTTGGAGGGGAAGGAGGAGGCAGTCAACAACTGCTTGCACACTTCCCTACTATGCATTAATATAAAGTCAGTCACAGTTTATCTCTGAGATGAGACTTGTCATATCTGAGGTCTAAGGTTTTAGATATCTGAAAAATAGATATCTTCCTCATAAAATTTTGCAATAGAAAATGTCCAGCCTTTCAAAATAAATTATTAGTTTCTTGTGCAAACGAAAATTGTGTAGCAGTCTCAACCCTCCTGTGGTTTAACAGGTGGTGTATACAGCAACTCTTTTATATGAAC